AATCTGCTGCTACTGGGCTGGTGGAAGATGTGACGTGAACTGGTGTAGAAAGAAGGTACAAGACATCCCAGTCAGTATCTTGTAAGCCCCCCACCAATTTTGCCCTGTAAGGATCAGACAGCACAGTACAGAAACCTCTGTGAAGCTGGAGGTGCAGAGCTTGGGCTAAGGAAGAATTCCCGGGAATACTTATCCTGCTGACTTACCCAGCACCAGCAAAATAAAGAGGGCAAAAATCAAAACTTCAGGGGCTCTTTTGTGCAGCAGAGACTTTGTCCAGGCAAGCAGAGTTCGTTCATTTCTGTGCACAGCTCTGCAGCAATGAACTTCTTCACAAGCTCTGGTTGTAAACATTTGCCTTTGCTTTACAGACAGTGCAGTCAGTGAAGTCCTCACCCCAGAAAGGATTCCAAACACAGGTGATGTGAGGTGTAGCTGGTGAAATCAGTGGGACTGGAGATGTTCTGAGCATCGCAAGCAGCTCCAGGCCTGGAGTTCTGCTCACAGCCACAGTGGAGCAGCAGTGACTGTCACTTCTAAGGGCTGGAGGTCAGATGTTAGGTAATCCTCCTTCCAAACCTCCCACAGGTCACCTCCCAAGCACCTTGCTTCAGGCTCTTCTGGAACACATGGAGTAAGAGTGAATAAAAGCATCAGGAAAAGAGCCACACAGTTGTAAGCAGCTGAGATATCAGCTAGCAGTGGAAGAAGATAGTAATGGTGTCTTACAGCATAACCAGTCCTGATGATTTTACAGGTTTTTTTTTTCTTTTCATGCAAAGAAAGCAATTGGTATCCCCAGGGCAGATCCGGATGACATTGTTTAGCTTTTACTTCATCTCTACTCCAACAGCTTGCAGTGCTGCCGGGATGAGTCCATACTGAACACAGATTGAAGGTTCTAGACCTGGGGACTAATGATTCTCTTGGTGGAACTTGGTTGCAAAGCACAAACATTACCATAATTTTAGACACCTCAGGGTATTCAAGGCATTCCTAAGGGCTGGTGGATTTGGCACAGGAGACACATAGCCTCCAAAAGTGGCAGCTGAAGGCCACACAGAGGACATGGGACGTCTCAGAATCAGAGACTAATAGAATTACTTATGCTGGGAAAAAATTTAAGGTCATCGAGTCCAAGTGGTAACCCTGCACTGCCAGATCCACCACTTAAATCATGTTCCTAAGTTCTGCATCTACACATCTTTTAAAGGTCTCCGGGGTGGTGACTCCACCATTGCTCTAGGCAGCCTGATTCAGTGCTTGACAACTCTTTCATGAAGAAATTCTTCCTAGTATCCAATCTAAACTTGCCCAGGCACAATTCAAAGCTGTTTCGTCTCATTCTAAAATAAGACAGCACTTAGGCTCAAGTTTTGAACCCCACTCTCAAAGTCCACTAATATGTGAACCAAAGCTATCTACCAGTGCTTAAGATGAGAAACACCAGTGTTTCAGGATTTTGCCCAATAATCAACCATCGGAAGCAGACCTTGAAACCAGGAATGCTCAGTTACTTCAGCATCATCACACCCACAGCTCATGGTCGTGGGAAGGAGAGATCTCCTGCGAGATGCAGCCAGGTGAGGGAAGTTTGAATGTAAAGTTATGAGGCTGATAGAACAAGTAGCCTGACACAGGAGCCGGTGAATAAGTCTTTCCCATCAGATCTGCAGTGGGACTTGGGGAAAGAACAGCTGCATTTGTCTGCCTGCTCCTTGGGCATGTTCCACCTGCTTAATTGAAGGCAGGTCCAAGTGAGCCATCTGTTGACCTGGTTGAGGAATCAGATCTTCCTACTAATTTAAAGATATTTTTACAGGTTATTAAAGGCCTAGAAGAAAAGGAGAGATGGATAAAAAACAACAGCTTTGCCTTAGAGGCACAGGTAATATCTGTAACAGCTGCTACACCCTATGCCTAAGCTAATTGTTAAATGAGTCACCCTGGCAAAAGAAGCATTAATAAAGGGAAGCGAAGACTGAACATCTGGAAAATAATATGAAAGGGAAGAATTTTCATATTTTGGAACTCCTTGCTGGGTGGGAACTGCTTGGGGAGACAGCTCTAATTGCTTGTCTGAGAGAATGAAAAGTGAATCTATTCCCAGTCTGAGATCAGCACAGTCATTGTGTATTCCTCCCTGCTCTCCCATCCCAGTGCCACAACTGTTATGTGGGGCCCTGACCTGCAAATATCAAGACAAGCTCTTCCTCTTCTGTTCCTCGACCTCTGTGCAGGTCCATAAGCCAAAGGGGTGCACCAGCCTCCTCAGGACCTGGGTCCAAGCTCAGGAAAAGTTGCTTTGAGCAGCCAAGTGCAAGATGCACTATCAAAGCAAAATATTTCTGGTGGCACCTCCTCTGTCCTGGTGCTACTAGGCAGTTACCAGGACTCATTTGATACACCCACTTTCTGCCTGTGGCTGTCAAGCTTTCTTGGCAATGGCCATGGGGTAGGAGAGGAAAACAACAGACCTGCTCCTGCTGTGCATTGCAGCTCTTTGCTGGTTACAGGGAGCTAAAAACATGGTCAAGTTTCTCCTGCTACAGGAAAAGGACATGGCTAACCAACAGCAGAGTCCTTTGTGCAAGCCTGCAAGGGTGTCCCAGTTCGCCACATCAAGGAGCTCTGTGAAAAGGGTCCACACCACAGTCTGAGTCAGACCCTTTCCATGATTTGACACTGGAAACTGGACTGGATAAAGCTTGGGGACGTTCCTGGATCTCATTCAGCTTCAGCAAGGAGAACCAAACCAGGATGCAGTGGGTCCCTCTGATGGCAGGATGCTGGGATTTTTACACATACCAGGAAAACAGGTTGTGCTGCAATACCTGTGCTCTAACTGTGTCTGACTGGACTTAGGTTTGCTGCTCACCAGTTCCTCGCAGAAGCAGATCATCATTTTTCCACCTTCCCTGCATTTAGTCTTCTCGCCCTTCTGCCATTCTGCACCTTCTCAGTCTCCTCTTTCCTGTCTTGGAGAAGAAGCTTCCTTCACTAAACACCTCAAACAGTGCTGTATAGCCAGGAGATCTCCATCCAGTCTGCTACCTGTCAGCCCAGGGCTGGTTTCTCCACAGATGAGTCCTGGGCAGCGATTTCCTAGGGCACGTGTCCAGGAGGACACAGTGGGTCTGCAACAGCCACTTGGAGAATGCAGGTGAGAGAAGCAGCACTGAGCAAGGGCTCTGCAACAAGACAGGCTCACAGCTCCCTCATTTCAGCAGGAGTGTAAAATATGAGCAGTCTGATCCAGTTTTCTAAACAGAGCCTAAAAGCAACTCAACTACCCTCTAAACACAACACTGCTCCCAGCCCGATCTTGCAAGGCATCACCAGTGACACATCAAGCCCTTCCTAGATTTTAATTTCCACCTGTAAAAGTAATGGGAGTGGTTTTCAGTGTTTTACATTTGCATTCATGAAGGTAAAGGTGCCAACTCGAGTACAGGCAGTGCTGATATGGGGTACCCCACTCCCAGGGTCCCCAGCACCACCTGGGTTGCTCCAAACTTCACCCCTCTGGTGTCACCTAAGGGAGGACATTGGGCACCTATTTCTCACCAGCTGAACACAAAATATTCTGTAACTGGCCCTTCTGATCTGCTTTTTCCTGATGTTCTTCTGGAATAGCTGATGTGCATGGGAATCGATTCTGCAGGCAGGAAAACTGGAAAGGCTGAACAGGAGATCTGACACGGGGACGTGTCACCAGCCCACTCACAGCATGGCCATGACACCGTGTCATGGCACTTTGGGAGGGATGCCCAGGGATGTGGAGCAGAGGAGGGCTCAGAGAGGCCATGGCATGGGTGCCAGGGGCAGGGATGGAGAGGGAGAGCACCCCGGGTGCCCTGGGATGCAGGGAGCGGAATGTGGCTGAAGCACGGGCAGGGAAGAGGCTGCAGCAAAGGAGGGTTCGTGTGGGGGGCCGGGGCCGGGCAGGCGCGTTCCCAAACATCCACGCAAGGATCCTAAAGCATAATTATGAAATTTTAAAAAACAACTTGACGTTATAATTATAACGGTTCCTGGAGGAGCCGCGTAATTGAATTCTAGGGTGTCTTGCTCTCATTGCAGGCGCTAACAAGAGAACGGCTCAGCTTCCCTCGCAGCCTTCCCGGAGCCCTGCAAAGCTCGGGAGACACCCAACAATTCAATTATTGTTTCCCTCTGGAAAGCAGATCATTTTAGACACGCGGCCAGCTCTAATTACAAAAGGAGAGGGGGAAAATTTTCTTGTGTCCAAAAATTATTTGACTCATTAAAAGGATTTACTTTCCGCCGGGCCTGAAGAGTTGAAGCTCTGGTGGAAGGACGGAAGGCAGGGAGGAGCGGCGACTCTGGCACGAAGGAGAGGGACCCCAGCCCTGCAGCGACGTCCCTCGGAGTCTGTACTCGAGTCTGTACTCGGGGCTGAGTCCCTCCAGGAGCCCCTTCCCCAGGAAAAGCTGTTTTCTCACAGAAGGCAAACTGGGGCTGCAGCCAAGGCTGGCTGGGCGGGCAGGTTTAACCTCAGACCACGAGGCTTCGCTCAAGCAGCAGTGAGGAGAGCTGCTCCCTCACAGGGGTTTGCCAGGAGCCAGGCCAGGGCTGGGACTGGGGCTGGAGGGACTTCTCTGCTCCCTGCTCCCCTCGGCAATAAAAACATGAGGCCTTTTGCTCAAAAGCTTCATTATGGTGTTGTGGGGCCTTTTTTTCCCTCAGATTATTTTTAAATGCTCTTTTGTGGAGAAAGACGATTTTACGTAGGGGAGGTCCCTTTTCCAATTACCATTAATTAACTCATCTCTAATAGATTTTTTTATAGCCCTCCATTTCCCGTGGCCAGAAGAAGGCAGCAGGCAGGAGGCCGAGCTGCTGCTTTGCCCCAGGATGGATCAGGCTGTTCTGACCCCCCCAAGATAACACTTCAGAAGAGTTCAGATTTTTTTTTCCATTTTTGTATATTTTTTCATAATTTTTAAAAATAATTATAATAATGTCCTCATAGGCTTTACAGGGACAATGCTTCTGCTCAGTGTGGACAGCTTGGGAAAGGGGAAAGTATTGGTGAGCTCAGGGCTCCTGGGACCACTCCTTGCCTTCACCCCCAGATCCACTCCTTCCCTCTTTTCCAGTGCAGTGAAATGAATTCCAGTGTAATGTTTATGGTTAATTTGAAATCTAGCACTTGTTAGATAATCCTGTTAGTAGCTTGTGAAAACAAGGAATCCCTTGTATAATCAGTAATTATAACAGGCGTTTTATGTTAAATTATATCTAATAAGCAAGACAAAAAGGGAGATGTGTTCTTGGATGGAGCTTTCCCCGTCCGAAAAAATAGGAGAAAAGTCTTCTCCGTGGTGAAATTATACATCTCGGGGGAAATTAAAAAAAAAAAAAAAGAAAAAAAAAAGCATTGGGATATCACAGTGGGGTTGGGATGTCATAGCAGAGCGTCAGGTAGCAGGAATCTGGGGTGGTTTCTCTCCCCCACGGCAGGACCTGACCCAGCCGGGCACCGTCGAGGGCTGCTGAGCTTGGGGCTTGCGGGCGATGCCGGGGGCTGGGTGTCCTGGAGGGCAGGAGGAAGAGGATGAGGAGTAGGAGGTACCGCGTGTTTACCGCGGGGCAGAGTCGTGCCGCCCCCCGGGACCCCGCAGCCCGACGGGGCGGGCGGTGAGCCCCGCACTCTCCGCTCCCTCCGCACCGCACCGACGGCCCCTTGCGGGGGGCAGCCCGCCGGGAGGGAGGGGGGCATTGGGTGCGCGGCCGGGCGCGGGTTTTCCGCGGCAGGGGGTGGAATCTGGCAAGGGGAAGAACGAAGGAAATCGTGGCGGGGGTGGGGGAACAGCAAGGAGAAGTGGAGCCACCAAAAAACCTAAACAACAACAACAACAAAAGAAAGAAAAGAAAACCATTAAAAAATTAAAATAAAAATAATAATAATTTTTTTAAAAATATGCCCCAGCCGCGCTTAGTGCCCTAGGGGAGAAGCACCCCCATCCAACCCCACCTGCCCGCGCAAGTGGCCGCGCTGTGAGCGAGGCCGGGGGATGCGAGTGCGCACCTCCAGCTCCGCGCTGGGGCTCCGCGGGGCCTGAGGGCTCCTGTCCGCGGGGATCCGCTGACAAAGGCCCTGTTGTCTGCCTCTAGGACCCCCGGCCCTGGGTTCTGTGGTTTATTGGTTGTAACGTCTGATGGAAATAAAAGAAGGTAAAATAAATGAAGGCAAAAGAAGGTGAAAGGAAAGGAGGTAAAAGAAGGTAAAAGGAGGGGGAAAAAAAGGTAAAAAAAAATTAAACATAAAAATAAAAAATAAAATAAAATAAAATAAAATAAAATATAAAATCTAAGGCCCGGGGCAGGCTGGAGCGCGCCATTCTCTGCAACTTTTTTTCCCCGTCTTAAAATTATACTTTCATTAAACCGTCCTGTAAAAATGTGACAATGTTTAACCACTGGAGTTATTGTAAATACGCTTAATCAAATAGACTCTTGAGGAAATCTCCCTCCATAAACACGCAATCTTGTCATTTAAACATATGTATAATCAGAAAATCTAATTAAAAGCTAATCGGAGGGCCGGGTTGGGTTAATTCTGCGCGGGCGCGGGCGGGCTGCGCGGCGGCCCCGGCCGCGGTGTCTCAGCTCGGTTTTTCCATCCGAGATGGCAGATCCCTCCCGGATTCCAAACACCGTGTGTCAGGACGAGAAGCAAATGTTGTTTTAGCAGGAAAGTAGTAATAACAAAGCCATTTATGCAAGCACATTAGAGCGGCGGGAACCCTGCCTCTTAGTTAAAATTTTTGAGCCAGAAAATTAAAAACAAATATTTAACTTCGCAATTTGCACCCCCCGGCTGCCGCCGCCGCGAAACTTTCGGCATGCATATGGATGAACCCGGCCCCCGCGCTCGCCCGGCCGCGGGAAGTGGTTTAATGCGCTTTAAAAGAAATTAATAGTTAAGTTTTGGGGCGATTCCTGGGCGAGGCGCGGAGGGGCCGCGTGTGCGCAGCCCGGCGGGCGTGGGGGGCTGTGCCGGGGGGTGGCAGAAAGGGAAAAGGAAGGGAGAAGGGGAAAGGGGAAGGGAAAAGGAAGGGAGAAGAGGAAAGGGGAAAGGGAAGGGAAAAGAAAGGGAAAGGGAAAGGGAAAGGGAAAGGGAAAGGGAAAGGGAAAGGGAAAGGGAAAGGGAAAGGGAAAGGGAGAAAGAGAGGAGGAGGAAGAGAGGGAAGGCAGGAAGGAAAAGGAAAATCCAGAAGGAAAAGCAAGGAAGGCAAAGAGAGAAGGGAAGACAAGCAGCAGCTAAGTTGGCTGAATGGGTTTGATCCCACCTCGGCCAAACCCCGTGGGTTTGGGGTGGAGGGGCAGGGAGTGTCAGCCCGGGGGCCGGCTGGGCACCCCCACCTGAGCACCCACCCAGGGCACCGAGCATCCCAAACAGTGCTCGCATCTCACTGTCACCATAACTTCTGCCCTGCCACTTCTCCCCCTGCACGTGAAATTTCTCGCATTTATTAATGTCCTCGGTTTGGGTTTTTTTGGGTGTTGTTTTTTTTTTTTTTTCTACAGTCAATTTGCCAACCAAGCATCATTTCTCGGTAAAATTCAATTTAACGACTGCAGGCTGCATCGAGCATCCCGGGTCCTGCCTCAGCGGGACGGGACATTTGCCGGGGCCGCTGGTAATTGCAGCTTTTGAGGGAGTTTGGGAGATCCTCAGCATCGACAGCCACTAAGTGTCATTTCCTTGGCTCGCTGGGGAAGTACGTGGAAGTTATTTTTATTGATGTGCTCCTGGTAGATTGTTTTGGCAGTTGCAATTTCCGTGTGACATATCCAGCCTCTCCTCCGAAAATCGCGAAAGGAAAAAAAAAAAAAAAAAGGAAAAAAGCGCCTTGACATTTATCCCCAGCTACTGCCGCTGCTCAGTAACGTTTAATTACAAAACTCGGCTGCGATGCCAGCCTGTATCGGTCATTAGGAACCTTTCTTAAAATCTTGTCAGCAATGAGAAACAGATTTAATGGAGGCAACCACGTAGCTCCTGGTCTGCCAGCTGAAACTGAGACTATGCAAAAGAGGATAGAAATGCCAAATAAGCCACTGCATTCCCTTCCTAGCAACCAACTCTTTAAATTTATTGCACTTTTTTCTTTTCTTTTTTTTTTTCCTTTTTTTTCCCCTCTCTTTTCCCATTCCTGCCCTTCGAACTGCCTTTGAGGACCTGAGCAGGATCTTCATTATTTTTGGAAGGTGTTTTGGGGAAGGAGAAACAAGTTTTGCCCGGGGGTGTCGCTTGTGTCGGTTTGGCTGGGATTGTTGGTTGGAGTTTTGGGGAAAGAGGTGTCGAGAGATGGAGACAGCCGATGTCGACCTCCCGTGCCCCCGGTCCCCTCCCCGCTCTCCCCGGTCCCCTCCCCGCTCTCCCCGGCCCCCCCGGCCCCCGGCTGTCCTTGCACCGAGGGGACGCCAGGGGGCAAGAGGCGTTCACGAAGACTGCATCCCTTCATCCTTCCATCCCTCCATCCCTCCTTCTCTCCATCCCTCCATCCTTCCATCTCTCCATCCTTCCACCCCTCCACCCTTCCTTCCTTCTCTGCTTCTCCCACAGGGGTTTTCATCGCCTCACAGCGGCAAAATTCAAATTTCACTTAAAAAAATAAAAGGAAAATATTCGCAAAGCCGTTTACATTTCCAATCCCCCCCCAGCCTCAGCCCCACGTGCCCGTCTTGGGCACAGCAACGCGCTGCCTTTCCACGCAGCACAGCCAGGCGGAAACGATATCCAGAAGCCTTGTAAGGAACGGCAGAGTTTATTTAAGCCAGCCATTTAATCCTACTTACCTTGCTGCTATTTGGACCTAATCCTATTTCCTCTGTGCATTATAAGGACAGTGAAACGACACAGTTTTGTCCTCCTGGTGGAGGCTGGCTGGGAGCAGAGCGCGTCGCCGGTGCCTGGGCTGCCGCTGGTGCCGGAGGAGCGGGATGCGCTCCGCGGGCAGCAGCAGCCTCCAAAGGAAATCACTCAAGGGAAACTTCGCCAGAGACAAAAAAACCCCCACATTCAATTTCCTGACTACTGCTTTCCTCCCTGAGTTATTTATTTTGGCAACCGCACACATTCAATAAATGAAATATTCAATCAACTGACCTCCTTGCCGGCTCATAGGATTCTTTCAGGAGTCCACTTTTTTATTTTAAATTTTGTTGTAGTGCTTAAATTAACTGCAGGGAGTGTTCCCATATCCTGGCTTTGCTTGGCAACTGATGTATTACGTGGCTTATGAATTTTGCAGACAATGAACTCCAGTGTGGCTGAAACGGACCATACACACATACACATGCCATTTCCCAAGCACGTTAGACATTAGGGCAAAGTATCACTTATTCTTTCGTATTTTTCACACCTTTTCCCTTTCCCCAGACTTTGCCCCAAATGCTGAGACCTGGGATGTGAAGCTAATGCCAGAGATTTTGCTGTGGAGGCAGAAACCTCTTAAAATAATCAGATGGCAAAATACCAGGCTCACCCCCGAGAGCAGCGTTTGTAATGCTCCTGCCTGGCATTTTATTCCCTGCTTTATCTCCCCATATCACACAAATCCATACGCTGTGTATCATTTCTCTTTGAAATGCCATGAACTTGGTGTTTTAAATCGAACCAGCCTTTCTTTTTTTTCCCTTTCCTTTCTTTTTTTTTTTTTTTTTTTTTTTTTTTAGCTGCAAAACAATGGAGATTGTCAAAGGGCCCGGGGTTGAGCTTTTCTGCGTGTTCACAAAGCGTTAAAGCTTTATCGAACAAACCGGCTCTGTCTGACCCCTGCCAGACAAAAGGCAACTTCCATTTTCCTCTGCAGAGAAGAGGGGCAGAGAGGGACATAGAGAGGGATGTACAGTAGGGCTGGGTGGGCCTGGGGCCACGGGTGCCCCAAGGCAGGGATGGGATGTCCTGTCACCCAGCAGAGACCCTGGTGCTGCCAGTCTTGGTCATTTTGGAGGTGCTGATGTGCTTGGCTTTGTGCAGGTGGGGGACAGAGTACAACAGTAGAGCCAAGGAGAGGCAGTCCTGCATGCTGGCACCTGCTGGAGGCTCAGTCATAGATTTTGCAGTGCTGCACCCCTCACAGTGAGCCTCAGCTAAATAAATATCCATCTTTAATCAGACCTGTAAGTGCTGGTGTGTGGATGTGAGCATCTACATCAACCTCCAGCTGCCAGTCTTTGGTCTTCTGTGAACCCTTGGTGACTTCTGCCATCACCACACAGGTGTCCCCAACACCATCCCAGTGGCACCAGTCTCTGTTGATCACCACCACACCATGTGCATTTTGGTCACACATAGAGCCCGATGTGGAGACACCAGGCTAAACCCTGCTCAGGGTGTCTGTGGCTTTGACAAAAATCTGAACACTGTTTCTCCAGCTCCCGCAGCAGCCAGGTAGCAGATGAATCTGCTTATTGACAGTCGCCATGATCCCTGTCTGGATCCAGACATGTCTGGAGCACTGTGATCCTGAGCTGTAGAAGCTACTTATTTCTGGATCTGCTAGCTCGGACCCCATGTGCCTTCTCCTGTGTGAGGGTGAGCACAGTGACATCCTTTGTTGGCCCCTGGAGCTGAAATGGGCTGCTCAGAGGTGAGTGGGAGAAACTCTCCCCTCCTATGAGTTGTGCTTTGGAGGATACTGGTGAAGTCCACACTATTTCTCCCTTGGCTTTGTTAATTTGCAGAGACCCTCCTGTGCTATGCCTATCCCTATCCCTATCTAACCGGCAGCAGACCAGTGACAGAATAGCAAAGACCACCTTTCTGCAGGTATATCTTATTCTGACAGTGCCAAAGCACCCATAAATTTCCAATTCTGTTCACAAAATGTTTGTTTCCAAGAAGGAAGCCAGAACTGTACTGGTTTTGGGTTTGTTGAGCTTTGGGTAGCAGGCTCAGGCTGCTCACCCCCCCCAGCAGTGTTTTGCATTACTCGTTAAGGGAAGCTGGCACTCATCTTTGCCGTCAGTGGAGATTTGTAAGCCTGATTATATTCCTAAGCATATGTTTGGAAATGAGAAGCAGCTCTCTGAAGTCAGTGGAATTGCTCTGATTGCAAATCTCAAGTTAAGAGAAGGGAAGCCTGGCTCTGGGTCTGAGCTCCCGCTTGGAAGAGCCAAAGGCAGTGACTAACAGCTTTGGGCTTTTCCCCACTCTGAGAGTGAAGTTGAACAGAAACCAGAACAAACATCTTAGTAATGAAAATCCCACAGTATTACAAAAGTGTTTGTGTTGGCATCTTTTAAGTGCATAAATGATGAACCACATTACCTGGGTGGGCAGGAAATGCCTGGTACCATTTCCAGGCTATTTTACATGTTCTGGAGGACAATCCTAAGGGGAAAGGGAAGTTCATTGAACTCAGGATGCACCAGATATTCCCCCCAGCAGATGGCTGGGTTTGAGTGCTGGAACAAGTGGCCAAGGCTGAGCAGCAGCAGCAGCAGCAAAGGGTTCACATCACCTTGCAAGGTTCAGCTCTTGATGTCACTGGGCTCAGCTGCTGCAAAACCAGATGTCTTTGAATGGGAGCCACAGTTTTAATCTCAGAACCAAACTGCTCCTAGGAGACCATCACTTGTTTTGGGACAGCACCACTTCCCTGGAGTCAGCCAGATTTGCCTGCCACAAAACTGCCATAACAGAGTGACTGTCAGATGATTCTGATCTGTGAACCTTAAAATGGTGAGAGATCTGAAAGACTGAAAAGGCAAGCTGATCCTTTGGTTTCTCCATGTTAGCAGTGGTGGGAAATGAACACCATAAAACATTACTCATGCAGGACCATGACTGCAGCACTGAACACAAATACTCTCTGCATTCCCTTCCTTCAAACATGTTGGTGCTCAAAGCTTGACCACAAAAAAAAATGCTTGGAAAAAAAAAAGTTTGAATCGCACCTATGCAGGTTTTCACATCAGATGGAAGAGGCTGCTCACACAGCAAGGACCCTTTTGAAACGGCATGTAGTGATAGGACAAGGGATAATGGCCTCCAACTTAAACAGGGCAAGTTTAGATTGGCTATTAGGAAGAAATTCTTCACTATCAGAGTGGCGAGACCCTGGCACAGGTTGCCCAAAGAAGTTGTGGATGCCCTATCCCTGGAAACATTCAAGATCAGGTTGGATGGGGCTTTGAGCTACCTCGTCTAGTAGAAAGGTGTCTAGTAGAAAGGTGTCTAGTAGACCGTGGCAGGGGTCTCAGAACTACATGGTCTTTAATGTCCCAACCCAAACCACTCTATGGTTCTGTAATCCAACTCACCAGAACTCAGAGTATCTGCCTGGGGAAGCTTCCACACGATGCCTGCTGTGCTATCTGCCCTGTAGAGATGGGACTGGACCCTCCAGTGATCAGTAAACCCCAGCCTCAGAACTGGAATTACTTCCATTTTACACCAGCATAGGGAATGGGAGAATCAGGCTGACTTTGTGTAACTGGGACAAGAGAAAATGCTATTTAAATTCTGCGCCCCGCCAGTGAATCTTGCAGCAGCCTAATTTTCCTATGAATAATGCCTTGGGCAAGGCTTGTGTGGCCCAGAAAAGGAAAAAAAAAAGGTTTGAATTTACTCCATCCTGCTTATTTGTAACCTCCTTCCTAATGGATGGTGAATCTTGGGAGGTTTGGCCCACTGGTGGCCAAATCAGGGCTGTGATGCTGGAGAGGGCACCCAATTGGAAGCGTCGGTACCTGTCAAAGCAAGGAGGGTGCAGATACAGGGACTCTAATGCTTGTGTGATGAAGATAGAGAGCAAAAATAAAATAACAATAATAAAAAAATTAAAAAAAAAAAAGAAAAGAAAAATTAATTGAGTAACCTCAAATTACAAATCAATTTGAGGAAATCCCAATCTAACTGCAGACACTCTGTGAGCAGTTAAAGCTAAATTCATTGAGCAGACAGCTCTAATTAGCACACAGTGCAGGCTCTCTCCAACAAGCTCCACGTGGCTTTCTCCGTGTCAGATGTGCCTGGTCCTGAGCCGTGACACTCATCAATTTGACCCAAAATGCATCGAAGGCAGGGTGTCACCACACTGAGATTGTTTAGGGGCTGCAGGAAGTCAAACTCCAAATTTCTCCGCTCCAACACCTCTGTGCCGCCTTGTCCCAGCCACCCCGGGCTGGTTTCTGACCTCATTCGTGCCAGTGCAAAACTGCAATAACTTCGCGTTAGCCACAGGGTTTATTACAAATTGTCCTTGTGTAAAGAGACCAAAATCTGGTTTATGAAGTTGGCTTCTTTTCCCTCATTCCCATGCAAGAAACCCTTCTGCAGCCAGAGTCAGTGGGACAGCTTTCACCTTTTAACTTAGGGAAAATTGCTCCCAACTCACACTGATGGAAGCAAGGGGCAAACCCATTTCTTCCATAATAGTAGCATTGCGTTGGTGGTGCAGGATTTAGCCCTTTAGATTGACTGAGCATTGAACTTTTTTTTTTTTGTAAAGAGCCCAAAAGAAGATAAAAACCAGGATCCCAATGCAGCAAGGCGTGTCTAGTTACTGGAGGAAGGGGATGAAACACTGCACCAAAAAAAACCCTCTCTTTCAGTTTTAGTGAAAGATGTGACCTCATTCTTTTCCTGGGGCTGTAGAGAGATATGTGGCATTTTCCTTGTAGAGAAGTGTATTTTTCCTTCGGGAAAGGCTGAAAGACTATTTGGGTAGTGTATTATTTTAGAGATATTTTGCATTCCTGCTCTCCCTCAGAGGAGGAAGCTGCTCTCTCCCACTTCTGCAACACTTACTCCTCTGTATCAAACCACGTTTGATCAAACACATGGGACTAGATCCCTGGCTAATGCAAACGCAGGCATCCATAAAGCTGTGCTGATTTATACCTGGAGATTTACACCTCTTGTCATGAAATTCTGATTTTTCTATAATCATC